TCAGTTAGTTAGTGGACCCAAGGCTTAGAAGATCATTGTCTCTTTACACTTCAATATGACTGGTGAAAATCCTATGCAGCACCGGGATAGGTTCATCCGGCACCCAGGGTACGGAACTGTGTCCCCCACTCCTAATGCATGTCATAGAATGGGTGTACCACCCTGTGCCCATACTCTGCCCATGGTTGGCATGGAGTATGCACTGCACATGCATAGCCAATTACTTGCTTTCTAGCAGCTAGAAGGTACTTCTCCACGCACGGTGTGTTTTTATATCTGCTGTGGGGGGATGGGGTGGAGATTGGGCATGTTGGAGCTGTCAGAGCAGACATGAGGCTATAGCCCAGCCCTGATTACCAGCCACTGATCTGGAGCTTGCATGCAGTAAGGGCCAGGGGTGGACTGACCATTTGAAAACTCGGGCACTGCCCGAGGGCCCGGGGTCAGTAAGGGGCCCCATGAGATGCCCCTGGTACCTTTTTCATAGGCTTTTTTGAGTTTGGGCAAGGACACAGGGGCCATATGATCCCCTATTGCCTGGGGGCCCCATGAGTTGTCAATCCACCCCTGGTAAGGGCCTTCCCTGTTATTTTTCTCAGAATTGTCAGTCTTTTTTTGTTTATGACTCAAAAAATAAAAACGGTACAGGCGATCAAATACCAATGATAGAAAACTCAATTCGTGGGAAAAAAGGACATACATTTCATTTGGGTGCAGCGCTGCATGACCGCGCAATTGCCAGTTAAAGTAATGCAGCGCCGTATCGCAAAAAATGGCCTGGTCAGGAAGGGGGGGGGGGGGGGATGAAATCCTCTGGAGGGCAAGTGGTTAAATTAATCATTTTTTATCATTTTATTTTGTCATATTCGTTATGTTAGAATTAAATTTGAGCTTATTGAATATTTTTTAGAACAGAAATGAGAAAATATTGTTTTTTTTTTTTTTTTCAAAATTGTTGGGTTTTTTTTTTGTTTATAGTGCAAAAAATAAAACAACACAGTGGTGATCAAATACCACCAAAAGAAAGCTCTATTTGTGAGAAAAATGATATAAATTTCATTTATGTACAGCGTTGCACGACTGCGCAATTGTCAGTTAAAGTAACACAGCGCCGTATCACCAAAAATGGCCTGGTCAGGAAGGAGCGAGTAAATCCTCAGGGGGGAAAGTGGATATAATATAATTATATATAAAATATATATTTTTTTTAAAAACTATCCGTTTTGGTTTTCGGCCAAATACATCCTGGAGTTTTGGCTTCGGTCCAAGAACTCATTTATAGGTAAAGTGGATCCAGTAGAAAATTTTGCAAATAAATAATATTTCATCATAAACCTTGGCCAAAATGTATTCAGTTATCTTTTTAGTAAAAAAAAAAAAAACAAATTAGTTTATAACCAGAAATTATAATTTTTAACATTTTTTTTTACATTTTTATATTATTATTTATGTTTTTTTTTTCTTTTTACATACGGTCACCCTAGCAGTACAGTGTCACCATGGTGACACTATACTACTTGTGCAGTGTGATTTACATTTTTTTTTCTTTTTTTACACTGATTGCTTTTATAGCCTTTATGGGTGTAAAAGCAATAATTTCTCCTTCTCTCTGGCTGCATTCTTGCAGCCATTGAGAAATACTGTGGGAGCTGTGATTGGTCACAGCTTGTCACATGGTACAAGGCTGTTGTGAATAGCCTTGTACCACGTGACCTCTGTGATCATTCACAGATTTCACAAGTAGTAAGCAATGATGTCAGAAGTGACATTATTATTATTATACAGTATTTATAAAGCGCCAATGGTTCACTCAGCGCTGTACATTACAGGACATCATTGCTTACTACTCTGCATGTGATCACTGATTGGTCAATCAGTGATCACATGATCGGGACCTCGCACAGAGGACCCATCCGACGATCGGTGTTGCACTGTGTTCGGAGGACACAGCGGGCACTGGATCGCGGTGCTGCACGCTCCCAGGGAGTGCGCACAAGCAGGGGGCGGGGAGGCCATTTGTAAACGGCCACCCGACCCTGCACTGCCACCGTCCGGCCGGACAGGAGGTGGTTAAGGAATGTTTTGTGTATTGAAGTTGAAGTGTTTTTTTTTTTTTTTTTAAAGAATATTTATTGGGTTATAACAGAGTTGAACCAATCAAAAAGTCATGACAATTAAGATACACTTTCCACAAAAATTCTGGTTGGAGTGCTAGAAGAACAGTGTATAAGAGAAGAAAAATTATCGATATAGAAGGAAGGATAAAATTCACTCAGTGTGGTGAGAGCATTGAATAGAAAGCATGCACATGACATTGAATTTTAAAGTAGGTGTGAGTAAGTAATGAATAGAATGGTCTATGTGAATGATAGGTATATAAAGTATGTTTAGGAGAGAAGGTATGAAAAGCCTATAGAAGGTGTGTAATCAAAGAGTACGGTGGAGATGAGGATGGCTTGTAAGCAGTATTAGGTGAGTTGGGTGTCATAGAAGGCTTTTGTTATCCACCAGCGACCTCGCCAAAATGAGTGATAAAAAGAAAAAGTGTCTGTGGACTCGGAATCTGAGATTAGATAATGTGGAAGAAGAGAAAGAAAGCAAAAGACTCAGAAGGCAAGAAAGGTAAGGAGGGCGAGATAATGATAGAAAGAGTAATCAAATGAAAATGAAGGAGAAAAAAGGTATCACCAGGAGGTCCAGTTAGGTAAAACTGGAGAGAAAGAAAGAGAGGAGACGGGAAGTTGAAGTGTTAACAAAAAGCCGTGTTGGCCATTTTATTCCAATCTGTGTTATGTTTTTTCTTTTAATGATATGTTAAAGGGGTATGTGAGAGAGTGAGATGGTCATTATTATTATTATTATACAGTATTTATAAAGTGCCAGTCGTTCGCTCAGCGCTGTACATTACAATGGGAGACAATACATGAGACAGTACAGTAACAATACAATGTGATACACGAGGGGTTCGAGGGCCCTGCTCCTTGGAGCTTACAATCTAGGAGTGGGGGGGATAGTGGTACGGGAGAAAAGCTGTGGGGGATGGAGTGGTAGGAAGAGTGGAGGAGGTCGGCAATTAGCAGGGGGCGGGGTAGGCTTCCCTGAAGAGGTGGGTTTTCAGGGTGCGCCTAAAGGAGAGGAGAGTAGGTAATATGAGTGTATAACATCTATAAACATTATATAGGAAAATCAAACCTGTCATAACATGAACTATTCATTACTTATCTTTTGGAAAGGTAAAGTTCAAATATTTTAGTAACCCCCTTTATCTCAGTATATACATCCAGAGTGCACCGCTGGTGAAAATATTTCCTCCAAAAATGACACGTCATATATGGCATCTTAAAAGTCTGCAGAGGGCAGAATCCTGGCAGAATCAGATGGTAGAATGTGGCGGAATCAGATTCAGAATATTAGAACAGACAGCACAGCACAGTTCAGTGGTTTGGGACTCACACTAACTCAGCCTTTAGTTTAACCCCTTTCCATCGGCGCCTCCTGGCCCTTTAAGAGTTCCAGAAGCCAGGAGGCGGGATGGGCAGGGTTTACGGATCATGTGACCGCCGTGACGCGTCGTCACGGCGGTCACATGATTGGGAAAGGTCCCGATCGAAAGAGCAGACCGGGACCTTTCCGTGAGTACCAGACATGTGGGCTGGGAGCATGCTCTCAGACAGTCATGAGACAGGCGGCACAGTGGCTTAGTGGTTAGCACGTCTGCCTTGCAGTAAATGGGTCATGGCTTCAATTCCCAACCATGGCGCCTCCTGAATGGAGTTTGCATGTTTTCCCTGTGCTTGCGTGGGTTTCCTCCGGGTACTCCGGTTTCCTACCACATTCCACAGACATGCTGGTAGGTAATTGGCTCCTGTCTAAATTGTCCCTAGTATGTGTATGTATGAATGTGAGTTAGGGACCTTAGATTGTATGCCCCTTGAGGGTTAGGGACTGATGTGAATGTACAATATATATGTAAAGCGCTGCGTAAATTGACAGCACTATATAAGTACCTGAAATAAATGTAGGGGGACTCTTGAATAGTCTAGCCTATCGTAGGGGGTGACTTAGCCTCTGGTGCAATAGTCATGTAGGGGGTCTTGACTAGCCTAGCTCTGGTGCAATAGTCATGTAGGGGGTCTTGCCTAGCCTATCTCTTGTGCACTAGTCATGTAAAGTCCCGGAATGCAGAAAGTAAAGCAATAAAATGACATAATACGTATATAAGAATGGGTTTAATCTTAGACTTTTGGGACTTTCTGAAGTTCCAACAAGAATCCTCCGTACACTTCCAAAAACTCACAACACATTTTATGTCCGATTGGGCTTGTTTAAAATCAGCTTCAATTGCCCGGGTATTTTCTTGTGATGATATCATTCATATTTAAATACCGCACCATTAGGCTCCTGTATAGCTGTCATGAAAGTGCAAGGTATAATTGTATATTATTTTGATAAAATGGGTGCAGATAAAAGAATAAAGCTCATTAGCTCCACATCTCGGCACCGTGTTGTTACTCATGCTCTGATCCTCCCTGCCATACTATGTATTTGCAGTCATTATGGAGTTCAATGCTTTAATGTGATCCAATTTGCCATTAGGGCATGATGGCTGAAAGGATTCCGCCGGCAGCTGCATACACTTACTTAGTGGTAGAAAATGGCATGAAAAATGGAAGGATACGTGACATATAATGGTCTGCATTAGATAGCAGACCTTCAATGATTAATAATAAGTCTCCCCTAATTGTCTTGTGCAGCTGTCATTATTCACGTTCAGAACAGCGAGCCTCACAAATGCAGCCTCGGCCCTAAATGGGACTGCGTGATGTAGAGCTAATAAAACAAATTGGCGCACCTGCATACATTAGGGGAGCGGATACCAACCGCAGACCGCCAGAACGACTTGTTATTGGACGGTAAACAGAAAGTAAATGAGAGGTGTCACTAAAAAAAAAAAAAAAAAAAAAAAAAGAAAACCTTCTGGTTGTGACTATAGTTCTTACAAACAAAGATGGTGAATTGATATCAATCCGGCTGGTGACGCGGAGCTCCCGGTGGACGGTCAGATCGGGGCACTGAGGGTCTTTCTAAAAGCGCGGTGAGTTGGTATTGAACTTTTCCGTATCTTCCAGTGAAGGTTGTAACCAGATTGCTAAACATAACAAAAACAAACGATGATAATTATTATTATTACTATTATTATACAGGATTTATATAGCGCCAAACATATTATTATTATTATACAGGATTTATATGGCACCAACAGTTTGCTCAGCGCTTTACAATATAACGGGAGACAATACAGCAACAATACAGTTCAATACAAGAGGGATAGGAGGGCTCTGATCCTAGGAGCTTACAATCTAAGATATTAAGGAACTTCTTCTGTAAAACAAATATTCTTAACCCCTTAGTGCCAAACAGGGGCGTCCCTTGGGTTGGTGTCACCTGGTGCGGTAACACTTGGTGACACTCCTTCCGACGATCCCCGCAGGATGGATCGGATCTGCAGATTGAGTATAATGGATCGGAGCCCGATCCATTATCCTTCCCAATCCGCAGATCCGATGCATCCTGCGGGGATCGACAGCTTGCAACCTATACGGGGTTATCTGATCTCTCCACAAAAAGGTACGTTTTAAAGCAAGCCTACGATCCCCGCAGGATGGATCAGATCTGCGGATTGGGGAGTACAATGGATCGGACTCCGATCCATTATGCTCAATCCGCAGATCCGATCCATCCAGCGAAGATGATCAACTTGCTTTAAAACGTACCTTTTTGTGGAGCGGGTCCGGTGTCATCCCGTGCAATAGGTGTCACCCGGTGCGGTGTGCACCCCCCACACCTGCCTAGGGATGCCCCTGGCGCCAAATGTTAATGCCTAAGCACAATTTTGCAACTTTGACATGTGTTAGTAAAATTGTACATATTGTGTATCCAGGTAGATTATACCACTTTTTTTTTTTCAGGAAACAAATTGGGCTTTCTTTTGGTGGTAAATTGTAATGGATATCTCCTGATTTTTTTCTTATTATCAGAGGAAAACTGGCCCAAAACAGTATGAGGGGCATTCAAGTCGAACCGGGACTTTTGAGTTTATATAATTGTAACACTACCCCCTTAGGAGTCGCCAAGTTTGGGGGTTTTTTGGGTCCCTCTACAGTCCTGCATAACCAGGCAACATGCATCTTCTTCCTTCACACTTGCACAATGAGGCGGTAACCAGTCCTTAGGCTTGTTTTTGTGATTTTTTGAAGGGGTAATAAACTTGATTGAGGTTGAGGGATACATGAGATCCTTGGAATATCCAGGTGATTGCCTCTTGGGGGTCAGGAAGGTATTTTTTCCCAGCAGGGGCAAGCTGGATCATGCTTTGCTGGGTTTTTTGCCTTCCTCTGGATCAACTGTGGGTATAGGATTATAACTTTTTATTTTTTGGTTGCACTGGATGGACTTTTGTCTTTTTTCAGCCAGACTAACTATGTAACTATGGGATGCCCAAGGAACTGTGAACTGTGAGAACAAACTATGTACAAGTCTATGGACAGGAAACAAAAATCTGTTCTTTCATAGCACTCCTGCTCTCCAGTGTACCTCCTCAGACCCCAGCAATACTAAGGGCATTCCCTCGGCAAAGGGATCCAGAAGCTGCTCAAGATCAAACAGTCCCGGCTGAGGAACTAGTTGGGTTCTCCACCTGACTGCCCTCTTCCTTTATGGGGTGTATGGTTACTCTCACTGTCATTTCTGATGAGTTGGTGGCTGCCTTCAGGCCTTCTGCTGGGCTGGCTCCTCCCTGCTGCTCAGGCTGTCCCTTCTAGTAGACGGTGGCACAGTGGAGGTCCCCTCTTCCAGCACCTGCCTGTAGGTAGGCTCCTTCCCTGGACCCCCTCCCAGGCTCCACTCTTCAGCCTCCTACTCCATCTTCCATCCACCCGACAATCACTGACTACTTCCTGCTGATCAGGCCCATTTATATCGGAGGGTAGTCCTGACCCCAGGTGACCTGGCTGACTCACACCCAGGCTGCTATCAGCCTCTGCCTAAAAACAAACATATAAATATATATATATATATATATATATATATATATATATATACACACATACATGTTTACATACACATATACTGCATGTTGAAATGCATTTTTTATATATTACAATATATATGAAAAATATATTTTTTCAATATATTCTTCACATTTTCTTTAACATATAAAAAAGTAATTTTAACATATATTTTTACATATATTTGTAAATGCATTCCAAAAATTTAGATTTGTATTTTTAAAGACATACAGTGTATTTGAAATGTATTTTTAAAAATATTTTTCAGATATTATGTAATAAAAACGCATTGCAACATACAGTATATATATATATATATATATATATTGAAATATATTGAACATGGCCACAATTGTAGTATTTCAAATATATGTCAATATATTTGGGAAGAATATTTTTAAAATATACTTCAAATATATTTTTCTTCCATATGGGCAGCAAGGTACTTCAGGATGTGTAAAAAAAAAAGAAAAGGTTAAAAAAGTTTTCACTTTATTATAAAAAAGGACACGGGTGGCTGGGCGATCCCATGGGGAATATGTACCAATGCAGAAAAATAAAAAAGTCAAATAAAATACTGATCAGCAGGTAATGGGTCCACCACGTGGTTTAACGATTCAATACAGTACACCCACTCCCTTCCTGCCCAGGCCAATTTTCAGCTTTTAGCTCTGTCATGCTTTGAATGACAATTACTCAGTCATGCAACACTGCACCCATATAAAATTTATATCATTTTTTCACTCAAATAGAGCTTTCTTTTGGTGGTATTCCATCAACACTGTGTTTTTTATGTATTGCTAAATAAACAAAAAAAGGCTGAAAAGTTTGAAAAGAAAAACCTTGCTTTTCTTCATTTCTGTTAAAACATTTTGCAAAGAAATAATTGTTCTTTATAAATGTAGACCAAAATGTATTTCTTTGGTGAAAATTTCCAAACTCAGTGTACATAATTTAAAATAAAAATAAAATGGAATGACACAGGGAAATAGTATTGAACACAAAGAAAGAGAGGTGCAAAAAAGCATGGAAAGCCAAGACACCAGCTGAAATCTATTATTAATTTGCACTGACAAGGGACAGGATTGCGTTCTAATTACTATCAGCTGGTTCAGTCTCAACTGATGGCCTACAAAAAGGTGTTTTATTATCAAGGTGGCATCTCAAGATAGGTAAAAACAAAGAGCTCTCTCAAGACCTTTGCAACCTTATTTGTCACCAACAAAGGATTTTGTACTAAGTATTAAATAAATTTCAGTTAGCATGTTCAATTCTTTTTCCCTGTGTCATTCCATTTCATTACACATAACCTCATTTCTGCACTTTGGTTTCTTTGTATGTATGGATTGCATGGTTTGTACCCACATGTGGCGAGAAGTTCAATAGAACTCTGACCAGCTTTGCTGTCCCTGCTGAAGAAAAGCATCCCTACAACATGATGCTTCCACCACCATGTTTCACAGTGGGGATGGTGTGTTCAGGGTGATGTGCAGCGTTAGTTTTCCACCACAGATAGCATTTTTCTTTTAGGCCAAAAAGTTCATCTTTGTTCTCATCTGACCAGAGCACCTTCTTCCACATGTTTACTGTGTCCCCCACATGGCTTCTCGCAAACTGCAAACAGAACTCCTTATGGCTTTCTTTCAACCATGGCTTTCTTCTTGCCACTCTTCCATAAAGGCCAGATTTGTGGAGTGCTCGACTAATAGTTGTCCTGTGAACAGATTCTCCCACCTGAGCTGTGGATCCATGCAGCTCCTTCAGAGTTACCATGAGCCTCTTGGCTGCTTCTCTGATGAATGCTCTCCTTGCCCGGCCTGTCAGTTTAGGTGGACGGCCATGTCTTGGTAGGTTTGCCGTTGTGCTATACTCTTTCAATTTTCAGATGATGGATTGAACAGTGCTCTGTGAGATGTTCTAAGCTTGGGATATTTTTTTTTTTAACCTAATCCTGCTTTAAACTTCTCCAAAACTTTATCCCTGACCTATCTGGTGTTTTCCTTGGCCTTCATGATGCTGTTTGTTCATTAATGTTCTCTAACAAACCTTTGAGGGCTTCACAGAACAGCTGTATTTATACTGAGATTAAATAACACACAGGTGGACTCTATTTACTAATTAAGCTACTTCTGAAGGCAATTTGTTCCACTAGACTTTAGCTAGGGGTATCAGAGTAAAGGGGGCTGAATACAAATGCACACCACACATTTCAGATATTTATTTGTAAAAATTTTTTAAAAACGTTGATCATTTTCTTTCCACTTCACAATTCTGTGCCACTTTGTGTTGGTCTATCACATAAAATCCCAATAAAATACATTTACATTTTTTGGGTATAACATAACAAAATGTGGAAAATTTCAAGGGGTATGAATACTTTTTCAAGGCACTGTAAAAAACTCATAACAAAAAAGGAGTTAAAAAGACCGGGATGACCATGACCCTATATAGATAAATAGTGACCAGGGTGGTACTAAACAGAATAGCCCCAAATGCTGCAGGATGATAATGGCCGACTCACATGTAAGTCACATTGTGGTGTCCTCGGAACCAAATACGACATAGAAAAAGGGAGGGAGACCGAGGGAAAGAATTCCTGAAGTCAAGAGGTCAGAATGAGGACAAAATATTAATAACACTCAAACTTTTGCAGGAAAAAAAAAACAAAACGACTTACCCAGCAGGAAGTTGAAAACTAAATGGAAGCTTGTGTTTCCCAGATGAAAATATGTGTCTTTCACCTAAAAAAAAAAAAAAAAAAGAGAAAACATTTATTAACTTTTTTTCTAAACCCATTGATCATTTATGAACTTCAAATCTACAAAGTTTAGTCTAAGGGGTCTATTAATAAAACAAACATTCATTGCACAAATGTCAATTTCTGCAAAAATGTGATGTCTGTATCATCAGCTCCATTTAGTAGCCAAATGTGGCCAAAATGTGGCATTTTTTTCTGAAATACCTCAAAGAGAATGGATGTTCATGTCCTAAATAGCTACAGTATAGGGAAGCTATTTAGGACTTGAACACCCAAATTTCCATTTCTACTGCATAATGCCGATCACGGACAGGGAGGGAAGTTGCTTTATTATTTCTTAATGGAGCGATAAGTTATGCTCACTATGCTGTCACCCCCTTGTAATATATATATATATATATATATATATATATACACATACATATATATACACACATACATACATACATACACATACATACATACATACACACACTGTTCAAAAAAATTAAAAGAGCACTTAGAAAACTCCTCAGATCTCAATGGAGAAGAATCTCCTGCTGGATCTCTATACTGATATGGACGGGGTCATGCGTTAGGAATGTAAGGATGCCCCATCGTTTGATGGAAATAAAAATTATCAACCTACAGAGGACTGAATTCGAAGACAACCCGATCAAAGTGAAAAAATTATGCAGTAGGTTAGTCCATTTTGCTGAAATTTCACTGCATCAACTCAGAATGGTCCTCAATAGTCTGTATGGCCCCCACGTGCTTGTATGCATGCCTGACAACGTCGGGGGAGGCTCCTAATGAGACGACGGATGGTGTCCTGGGGGATTTCCTCCCAGATCTGGACCAGGGCATTACTGAGCTCCTGGACGGACAGTCTGAGGTGGAACCTGGTGGCGTTGGATGGACCAAAACATGATATACCAAAGGTGTTCTATTGGATTTAGGTCAGGAGAGCATGGGGGCCATTCAATGGTATCAAAACAAATTCCTCCTGCGCCGTCAATGCTAAAAAACAAAACCGGGTGGCTGCTAACACCAGCCTATAATACCAATAGTGTCAGAAAAGAGAATGAAAAAAAATATGCTGCACTACCCAATCAAATAGACCCCTAAATAATAATGAATCAAAGTGAAATAGGTGCAAATAAAAGATATAAAAAACACACAAAAAAAAAAAAAGCTCAGGATGAAATGAGTGAGCAGGAAAATTTATGAATAAAGTGAACATAAGATGATAAATAAGTCAATCACATAGCAACATGAAAACTGATCGTGATCCAAATGTGAAAACAATATATATATATATATATATAGGAAAGGTAACTATATATATAAAAGATGATAAAGTAAAAAGTAAATGTATGAATCACTCAAAAAAAACAAAACAAAAAAAGCAAAAAAACACCCAATGTGAACAGAGTGACAGTAATGATACGTAAACAACAATGAATAGATGGGTACCATAAAAATCATAAAATGCATGAATATATGAGTAACAAAAGTGGCGGAAAAATGCCATAATAAAGTGCACAGTCCCAGTGAATCTGTGTATCTTCAAAAATGCATGAATATATGAAGCCATGGAACATCCTCCCCAGACCATCACTGACCCACCACCAAAATGGTCATGTTAAAGGATGTTACAGGCAGCAGAACGTTCTCCACGGCTTCTCCAGACCCTTTCATGTCTGTCACATGTGCTCAGGGTGAACCTGCTCTCATCTGTGAAAAGCACAGGGCGCCAGTGGTGGACCTGCCAATTCTGCTGTTCAATGGCAAATGCCAATCGAGCTCTATGGTGCCGGGCAGTGAGCACAGGGCCCACTAGAGGACGTCGGGCCCTCAGGCCACCCTCATGAAGTCTGTTTCTGATTGTTTGGTCAGAGACATTCACACCAGTGGCCTGCTGGAGGTCATTTTGTAGGGCTCTGGCAGTAATCATCCTGTTCCTCCTTACACAAAGGAGCAGATACCGGTCCTGCTGATGGGTTAAGGACCTTCCCCAGCCCTGTCCAGATCTCCTAGAGTAATTGCCTGTCTCCTGGAATCTCCTCCATGCTTTTAAGACTGTGTTGGGAGACACAGCAAACCTTCTGGCAATGGCACGTATTGATGTGCCATCCTGGAGGAGTTGGACTGCCTGTGCAACCTCTGTAGGGTCCAGGTATCGCCTCATGCTACCAGTAGTGACACTGACCCTAGCCAAATGCAAAACTAGTGAAAAACAGTCCGAAAAGATGGAGTAGGGAAAATAATGTCAGTGGCCTCCACCTGTAAAACCATTCCCGTGTTGAGGTTTGTCTCGCTGTTGCCCTTCTAGTGCACCTTTAAATTTCATTAACACCAAAGCAGCTGAAACTTATTAACAATCCTCTTTGCTACTTAACTGACAAGAAATATATATATTCCAGAAAGCAAGGTCCATAAAGACATGGATGAGCGAGTTTGGGGTGGAGGATCTTGACTGGCCTGCACAGAGTCCTGACCTCAACCCCATAGAACACCTTTGGGATGAATTAGAGCGGAGACTGTGACCCAGGCCTTCTCGTCCGACATCAGAGCCTGACCTCACAAATGTGCTTCTGGAAGAATGGTCAAAATATTCCCATAGACACCCTCCTAAACCTTGTGGATGGCCTTCCCAGAAGAGTTGAAGCTGTTATAGCTGCAAAGGGCGGGGCCAACTCAATAATGAACCCTACGGACTAATGCAGGCCATAGATGGGGAGAAAAACGGCCGATTTTTCGTCCGAAAATAAAACCGGCCGATTATCTTATCGTTAGTGGACGATTTTTTTGTCGGCCGTTTTTCGTGTATTTTGGACTTTCAGATTATCGGTGATGTTGGAAAATTTTCGAAAAACGCCCGACTTTATCCTCATTGATGGTCAAAAACGAACGATCGTTTTCCGAAAAAGGATCACAAAGGCCACAAAATGACATCATTTCCCGTTATAGGTTACTCATTAATTGGCCGATTTTCGTAATAATTGGTGGTCAGGTAAGTTTTTTAGACCGACCGATAGTTCGTTAATCGGCCGAAAATCTGCCGTTTTTCTCCCCATCTATGGCCTGCATAAGACTGGGGGGTCATTAAAAGTCATGTGTGTGTAAAGGCAGGAGGCCAATACTTTTGCCAATATAGTGTGCGGGTGTGTGTGTGTGTATATATATATATATATATATATATATATATATATATATACATATATACACACACACACACATATACACACACATATACAGTTGTGTTCAAAATAATAGCAGTGTGTTGAAAAAGTGAATAAAGCTCCAAATCCTTCTAATAGCTTTTATTTCCATCCACACAAATGCATTGGGAACACGACACATTCTATTCCAAATCAAAACATGAAGAAAAATATATCAAATTTGTGTTGTTCCTCTAAAAAATTGAAGAAAAGTGAATATTAGACGGTTCAAAAAAATAGCAGTGTTTGTATTCTTTACAAACTCAAACATTCACTATATAAACTGAAAAATGTTTGAAGATTTTGCTTTCCTTTGAATGACTTCATGAATATTTGGTTGTAGTCGCACTGTTTCTGAGAACTGCTGTACATCTGTGTTACATGGAGTCACCCAACTTCTGGCCCCTGTGATCAGGTATTCCAGCCCAGGATGATTGGACGACATTCCACAGTTCTTCTCTATTTCTTGGTTTTGCCGCAGAAACGGCATTTTTGATGTCACCCCACAAGTTTTCTATTGGATTAAGATCCGGGGATTGGGCTGGCCACTCCATAACGTCAATCTTGTTGGTCTGGAACCAAGATGTTGCACGTTTACTGGTGTGTTTGGGGTCGTTGTCTTGTTGGAACACCCATTTCAAGGGCATTTCCTCTTCAGCATAAGGCAGCATGACCTCTTCAAGTATTCTGATGTATTCAAACTGATCCATGATCCCTGGTATGCGATAAATAGGCCCAACACCGTAGTATGAGAAACATCCCCATATCATGATGCTTGCACCACCATGCTTCACTGTCTTCACAGTGTACTGTGGCTTGAATTCAGTGTTTGGGGGTCGTCTGACAAACTGTCTCCGGCCACTAGACCCAAAAAGAACAATCTTACTTTCATCAGTCCACAAAATGTTGTGCCAGGAAAAAAATGGTAGTTTTTCGCTTTCTTCCACGTTTTTCAGGTTTTGGTTGCCATGTTAAAGCATTTGCGATCATTTTAGCTGAGCAGCCTATTATTTTCTGCATTTATATGTATGTATATGTTTTCCCCTCTCCAATCAACTTTTTAATCAAGGTACGCTGTTCTTCTGAACAATGTCTGGAACGACCCATTTTCCTCAGAATGTAAATTATTTGCCATGTAGAAATATCATTTCTACCAAAAACAGTGATTGATCCGGTTAGTGATGTCTGACTGCTATTATTTTGAACACAACTGTATATACACATACATAAATACATACACACTTCTCCTGGTCCTGTCCCTTTCCCAGTGCTACTGTACAATTGATTACAATAGGTTTAAACCAATTAAAGTGGCACTTAAAGTGTTACTAAACCCCGGACCCTGCATTCACTATATCTGGTCTCCCCAGACCCTGCATTCACTATATCTGGTCTCCCCAGACTCTGCATTCACTATATCCGGTCTCCCCAGACCCTGCACTCACTATATCTGGTCTCCCCGGACCCTGCATTCACTATATCTGATCTTCCTGGACCCTGCACTCACTATATCTGGTCTCCCCGGACCCTGCATTCACTATATCTGGTCTCCCCAGACCCTGCATTCACTATATCTGGTCTCCCCAGACTCTGCATTCACTATATCCGGTCTCCCCAGACCCTGCACTCACTATATCTGGTCTCCCCGGACCCTGCATTCACTATATCTGATCTTCCTGGACCCTGCACTCACTATATCTGGTCTCCCCGGACCCTGCATTCACTATATCTGGTTTCCCCGGACCCTGCATTCACTATATCTGGTCTCCCTGGACCCTGCATTCACTATATCTGATCTTCCCGGACTCTGCATTCAC